TATCTCCGTATATCGATCGGTTAACGATTTAATCAGCTGATGAGCTTTTGAATTTTTAAGAAATCGAATTCGTTTCCACCGATCTTTCGATTTCTCGATTTTCAAACACGTATTTTTATGTAAATCGTGCATCGATCGGTTAAGTATCGAAGTAATCGAATTCGTTTTCACCGATTTTTCTTTTCTATGATTTTCACCCACGTATCTTCATAAATCGTGCATCGATCGGTTAAGTATCGAAGTAATCGAATTCGTTTTCACCGATTTTTCTACGATTTTTCATGTATCTCCATAAATTNATGCATCGATTGGTTAACGATTTAAATAGTCGATGAAGTTTTGAAGAAATTGAATTTGTTGCCACCGATCTTTCGTTTCTGCGATATTCAACCACGTATTTTTATGTAAATCGTGTATCGATCGGTTAAGTTTCGAAGAAATCGAACTCGTTTTCACCGATTTTTCTTTTCTATGATTTTCAACCACGTATCTTCATAAATCGTGCATCGATCGGTTAAATTTTGAATTTCGAAGAAATGAAATTTGTTTCCACCGATCTTTCGTTTTTCCGATTTTCAATCGTGTATTTTTATATAAATCGTGCATCGATCGGTTAAGTTTTGAATTCGTTTCCACCGATTTTTCATTTCTACGATTTTTCATATATCTCTATAAATAGTGCATCGATCGGTTAACGATTTAATTAGTCGATAAGTTTTGAAGAAATCGAATTTGTTTCCACCGATTTTTCTTTTTTATGATTTTCAACCACGTATTTTTATAAATTGCGCATCGATCGAATTAAGTTTTGAATTTCGAAGAAATTCGTTTCCACCGATTTTTCATTTCTACGATTTTTCATATATCTCCATAAATTGTGCATCGATCGGTTAACGATTTAACTAGTCGATGACAGTTTTGAATTTCTAAGAAATCGAATTCGTTTCCACCGATCTTTCGTTTCTACGTATCTCCATAAATTGTGCATCGTTCGGTTGACGAGTCGATTTAATTAGCCGATGACAGTTTTGATATTAAAACGAACAGGAAAGTCAATCATCCGTGCGTGAATGAGCGAACGTTTGAGAATAATGAGTCACAGTTTGATGGAAGCATGGAAGAATGGAAGCATTGGAGGAAGACGCAAACACGTCTTCTTTCAATGGCGTTCGTTCTTATGTCGAGGATCGTTGTATATAAACGGTGTATTGTGGTTGTGTGGTCGGTTCCCCCTTGGATGACGCGTTCGACTGGTTCGCCTACGGATTTCAGCGCATTCGCCAAATAGGGAGCACCAAAGTTGATTTCGCTACCCACGACACTTCTTTTTTTCTTTTTCTTTCACGGGAAATGCGGCGGGACCAGGCGTGGTACTTTCGCTCCATAATCCGAAATCGATCGGGATCGATCGTTCGCTCACGCGCAAAAATCGCGAGATGGAAAATTCCTGGGAATCGAATATATTTCCTTATTGCCGCGGGCATAAGTCATCCGATTGTTTCGAACCGAATATTAAAAATAACTTCGATTCGTAGATCGATGCGAAATTGTTTTTTTTTTTTTTTTT